GCTGCTGGTTAATTTGCTAAATGCAAATTTGCATGCTTCACTGCCGACAGAGCTGTTTGGTTGTTTGGTATCCTTTTTTTTTTTTTTTTTTTTTTTTTCTTTTGGCTGGGAGGACATGACAGTAAAGCACTTTGAGAGACAGAGGTTAGAAGGCAGGTCAGACCAGGTCATGGGTAAAATCTGAAGACAAACTGAGATTCAGCAGAGGAGAGTTTCAGAAGGAAGAATGACGAACAGGAAATGAAGCTACAACAATAAACCTTATCCTGAAAAATGCCAGATTGTTTTTCATTCCAAAAAAATATCTCCTCGGTTCTCAGGGTAGGACTCCATTTGGTGGGATCGTAGAGAAAACAGCGAGTTCACTGGGGAAAATGGGACGTGCCAGATGTCCAGATGCTGGGTGAAGTGCTGTGCTCTTCCTGCTGCAGTCAGATTTCGCATACATGAAATTTAGATTTCTCAGGTTAAAGGTCCGAGGTGATAAATGACCCCTGCAGACCAGAGGAAGGCTATTCATTGTCCCGTGCCTGTGAATTCAGGTAGGCCTGATGTGTGATGTAGAGAACAGAACTGTGATGTAGAGAACAGAGTTTGCTGCACCCAGATGTGATTTTTACAGCGGGAACTTTCCTTGTCTGCACCGAGAAGGAAAAAACGTGCTAGAGAAAGTCATGAAGCTGAAGAAGAGGGAGAGAGAGCTGCTTGTAGTTCCCAGTGCTCCCTTGAGACCGAGATTTCCTTGCTTCTCTCTTGATGCAGCAGCCCTGTGGTTTCCTTGGGCTGGTTTTGGTGTAACATATGCCTTTTTGGGGAATAAATAGTTATGTGTTAGCTTGTGTATAACACAATATTTACGGTTCACTGGATTTTAACAGCCTTGTCAGCTAGAGCACAAAGCCCTCTAAACCCCGCATTCCCCTCATAAAAACTTTTCAAAATGACCTCGTTACCTCACTTGCAGGAGGAAAACACAAGATTTAGCAGTAAAGATTTATAGAACAACAGTGATTTTAGATGCTGCCTGGCCTAGTGCTGAATGCCTTCTTTCGTCCAAAGGTACTCAGACAACAAATACCTTCTCCTAGACTGGGATGGTCAGCCTTTGATGCTCTTTCCATGTGTTATAAGGATTAGGTTTGGATCACTAAGTGTTGGATTAAGGACAGAAGTTGATTTGTGAAGATGTTTTCATATATTTATTAATATTTAGGAGCAATAATATGTATGGATGCTCCTAGTAGGAGTTCTAACTTGCAGTTCTTTTGAAAGAAGGGGAGAAATTGTTCTCTTTTTAAAATCCTGGTCAAGAGTTAATGGCTCTGAAAGTTAGCTACAACTTGAAAAGGTCGTTGTACTTCCTGGTATGTGACAGTCTTTGTGTCTCAAAAGGATTTTCATGGAGGAGAAGAGGAGATGGAACAACTCATATGGTGGGAAAAACCTCCACTTGCCCGTTTGGTGGTTGTCATCAATGTAAAATAAGGAAATCTGAGCTTCCAGACTAACAAATGATTTAACTACCCAGCTTTTAGAGAGAGGGCTGTTTGGTTTGCTTTGACAGCTATCTACATATTGGAAATATATTAAAAAAAATATAGTGTGACAGTGCTCTTACAGAAATCTTGAGTCATTTCTCTTTGCCAGTCATCTTTGGTGACTTGATTACCTTTTCAGTCATGGCATGTCACTTGGGAGTATTATGTCATGATTTCCCAGACTTTTACACAAACTAAAATGTATGGAAAGGCTTTGGGTTTGAGGATTAAAGGATATCACACCAGGACATGACAAGGAAGCTCTAGGAAGATGAAAATGCTTGTGGTTTTATGAAGAAATGTAAGGAATGTGGAGTATTTCACTTCAATAAATGTCAGTCTCCAGCTTCCAGCTCTCAACTGCTGAGACAATTTCCTCTAACCTGAGCAGAAGTCTGGCAGGACAACAACCACGCTAGGAAATTTGGCTCTCAGCCTCTGTCATGACATGGAGGAAAATGTTTACTTTTTTTTTTTTTTTTTTTCTTTCTGGTAATTCCATCATCTTTGAGATACTGAAATCCTGGTTCTAAAGGTGCCTTGGCCATTCATAGGCCAAACCTCACCCTGGATAACAGGTTAGCATGTATTGCATTGCCACAGGGCCCTTTCCACATCAAAGGTCAAGGTATACAAGAAAGGGTTTAAATTCTGCAAGTGCAATAAGCAGCTCCTGCAGAAGAGCTGGGGCCAAAATGGGTGGAAGAAGGAAGAATGAGGGAAGAAGGAGAGCAGCAGAGGGATGCCACTGAAGCAGCAGATAAGCTGCAACCCCTTCCCTATTGACATTTGCAGCCACAATGGTGAGTCCTCAAGGAGCTGTGTCAACCAGATGGATATTTCCCTAGGTCACTGTGTCCTTCTCCAGCTGCTCAGTGGAAAGTGTTTTTGTATCTGTAGCCAGAATTAATTTCCCTCGTCTGTTCTCTCTGCTTACCTATTGCTGGCTTTGGCTGTCGGAGCCACAAATCCACTGGATGCCTGTCGGACGTGTGAATGGGGGCTGCCCCCGTTGTCCCCACGTGTCACAGAAGTCACTGCCCTGTTTGAATGCTTGGGCTTTGGGCTTTCATCACAGTCAACTGGAAGCTGCAGCTCCATGGCCAAATGGTACCCAGACAGCGAAGGACATTTTAATACCAAATCCACGACCAAATCAATTTGCTGCAGTAAGCTACTTAGTGGGCCCATCTGGTAGTCGCTAATTTACAGGCTGGGCCATCTGCCACTGTCACAAGCTGGTAAGAGTAGAAAAGTTACCCAACACAGCCAACAGTTTAGCTTTGTTTTAAATTCTTCTTCCCCTCAATGCTGTGTTCTGTTTCACTGCTAGGCTGTCGGTAATGGCAGTGGTTTCTGTTCTGAAATCCGTATTTCTCAAACCCTGGATAATCTTGTGCAGCAGGGAGACGCTGCTGCTGTGACTCAGCAGCTGCTGCCGGTATGTTTGTGCAGCATCCAAGCTGCTGACAGCAGCGTGGAGTGGTTTAGGAAGCTGTGTTTCTACCCAGCGCCTGCATATTTTAGCTTGCTGTGACAGGATATGTGGGAAACTTATTCTAAATATATGTTATTAAAGCCACAGTCCTCGGAGTTGCAGAACGGCTTCTGCCCTAATGGAAACAAACAGATAAGGCTGCTCTTTATGATTTAGGCTGCGTAACGTGGAGAGCAAATCTGTCAAGAGCTGCAGATTTGCTCTCTGGGTTGTTTTTCAATGTGTGTGGGGAGTGAGGGATGAAGGTAGGTTGCAAATTCTTCAGTAAAGGTCAGTCCTGAAGAGTGACATTTCTGCAATCGCTGCAAAATGCGCCGTGTCAGTGCAGGGTCAAAGAGCTGCTGGAGCTTTGGAGGCTGCAGCAACTGGAGAGCACAGATCCTGATGGCTGGAATAGTGTTGTGTCCCCAGCCCATTGCATAGTAATGTTTGTTCCTCGAAGTAGCCAGTGCTTGGCTATTTTTTCATTCAGATGAGATTTCAAAGCAACCACCAGCTTCGGCTGCTAGAACTTCCCTGATGTTGTGCCTGTGCAATCTGAATACTCAGCTAAGGGCAGTTTAATTTCTGCCCTCACTGTGTCATCCATCTCTTTGAACATTCATCTGCTCAAGCTGGGCACCCTCCTCTGCAGGAGTGTTAAATAAGTATTTAACTTTTAAATAAGTTAAATAAGACCTTTTGTTCAAGGTCTGCATGACCAGCTCTTGTCATTTGCTCGTGGTGGAGCATTCTGACTGGAAGGAGCCTGAGTCTGAACACCGCTTTCCCTTGAGAACGTGTTTAGGTGCCCTTCAGAAAGGGTTGGCATTTAATCCACTCCTCTTCTGCGCTCTGGCAGCCTGAGCGGTGGAGGTGGTGGTACACGGGATTTCTGTGGTCTTCAGCTGTCGCTGTGCAGAGGGTGGAAACTGAGTCAGTGCAACAGAGCCAGCACTGATCTTCTGAAGGTTTGACCCTGGGAACTCCTTTGGGTTTCCCTGGATTAAGATGGAAGTCATCCTAGAGGGAAAAACCCTCAGCAACAACAAAGGCTTGTGAAAACAGCTTTTTTGTCAACCAGGCAAAGACCCAAAGCCGTTCCCTACCGCATGAGACTAATGGTATTCAGCCTGCCGGGACAAAAGCTTCCTACTGGAAGTTTAGGGCTGGGATTTTTATTTTTTTTTTCCATCTGAGCATGGTTTTTGTCACTTACTGTGATTGAATGTGATATCCTTGGGGGGAATATTAATTGAATTCTCTGTAAGCCTCTGCTCTAAGAACTGGGAGGGCCCAGAGGAAAGATTACCAATAGGGTTCCTATGTCTAATGTGATTAAAAATTATTTGGCTGCAGAAAAGAGAACATTGTTGTTCTCCATTGTATTTCTCTGCAGAGATAACACTGATGCTGACTGCAGAAGAGATAGGTCATACAAGTTTAATTTGAACAGCTATAAAAAGAAACTTGCAGTAGGGCTGCTCATTGGAAATTTAGTAAAGAGAAGTTACTACCATAGCTCCGTGCAATCCCAAGGAGGCATCTTCATCTACTCCTCTTGGAAACCAAGCTGTCAAGGAAGTTAAGCTGGGAAGCTGTATGAATAGCATGTTAGACCTGAAAGGCAGAATAATCTTTTTTTTTTTTTTTTTTTTTTTTAAATGATGAAATCTGGGAGCTGGGCACTGAGCTTTGTTGTTTTCACAAAGCTCAGGGACAGGTGGATCAGGTGAAATAACCAGCCCTGGGTTACCCTAGGTCTCTTTGCAATAGTCGTGATGGGCACAATGATTGTTAAGCTCTCCTTATCTCCCGATACTCCCCTACTAGAGACAGACTGTCCACAGGGGCCATTTTTGCTACTGGAAAGATCCTTCAGTTGCAGAAATTTGGGTTAAGGCAGCTGTGATGATTCAGGCTTTGCCCCCAGGTGCATTACATTTATCATGGAGGCTATAAATGAGGCTGAAAGCCCACAGGCTGCTGTAGGAGGGGTAAGAAGAGAGTAGTGGGTTGGGAGTTCCTGTGCCTGAAACATGGATGTGACTACTCTAGCTCCTGTTTCATTGAAGCTTGTGATATATTTTGGCCGGGAATGTGCTCTTGGGAGAGGGACCACACCTCCTGCAGCGTTTGAATCAGAGAAACTCAGCCATGGGACCAGGAGCCGTGATGTCCTCCTTCCCTGACTGTGCAGCCTTGCCACCTCCTGCTTGTGTACTGAGAGCGTGGCACTGCCCAAAGGCACCCTCCATAAAGAGGGTGGAAGCAAGTCTCATCTATTGAACTGGTGTGCAAAGGCAGAGAGTTGGGTGTAGATACTGCAGTGGACCTGCCATTTCTGCCCCTAGGTTGAATGGCTGCCGAGGGCTTGTAGCTTTGCAATGTGGATAACTTGGATGTGAAGGTAAGAGGGGATTTCAGCTTCATTTGTGTGACTTCTACTTTTTCCAGTGAAAGTGGATCAACATTGGCCTCACAGTTCTTGTTTGGAAGATGCTCCACTGGCAAACAACACTCCTTTGTCTTTGGCTTAAGTTAATCATTGACTTAATTTGTGGTTATTGCTTTCCTTGTTGTAAGATTGTTTTCTCAGTGAAATGGTAGGTGTGTCTCTAACTTATGTTTTCACCTGTAATTTCAAAGCTTCTAGGTGTGTGTTTTATGGAAGAGGCAAAATCTTGCTATGTGTGAAGTACCCTGAAAGGTCTGAGCGAGACGCATGCAAGCTGTGCAAGTGCAGCTTCAGCTTCTGAACAGCAGGGAGTATTTCACAGCGAGGGAAAAGGCACTTGCAAGAGGTGAAATATACCTTTAAAAACTGCTTAAGAAAACAAGTAATTTCCTCATACTGAGTCTGGGCCACTCTGGTTTCTGAGTTATTGCTGCCTGTCTTGTCATTACCCTTGTGTGTAAATAGCTTGTACAACCTTTTTTTTTTTTACCATAGCTTGTGATATAACCGGATAGAAACCCAACTGATTGGCAGTGCAGTCATCTAACATGTTCTCATAATGCATCATCTTTTCTCTTTGAGGGGTTACAAGACCTTGTTTTTCAGAGGGAAAGAGTGATGAGCTCTTAACTTCAGTAGCGTTTAGAGATTAGAGAACCTTTCACTCAAGCCTGGTAAAAAAAAAAAAAAAAACAAACTTCTATGTAATTGGCTTATTTTAGGGTTTATGTAGATATTGAAATTCAATTGTTAACCTAATCAAGCAATGCAGTGTTTTAATGTAACTGCCAAAGAGCAAGGATGGACTGTGTTCATTATTGCATTGAACAAATCTTCAAAGCTCCTTGCAGAAACTGGGACAGAACGGAAGGCAAGATGACTTTCCTATTTCTAGCTCCAACAAAGTATCAGGGCTTTAAGACTGGCTACTTCTTTGCAATGTGGAGGAAAAAAAAAAGCCATCTTTCTATCCTTTTCCAGCAAAATAGCAATGTCATGATGCTAAGGGTACAGTTTTAGCTGTAGAATATTTGAGCTTAACTAGTATGACTTTGAATTTGAGGCCTCTGTATAAAGGCTTAACTTGGTCCTTGCTGAATAATACATCCAAGTGAAGGACATTCATTTAACACAGCCCATTTTCTGTAATGCAATCCTCCTCACTCTTCTTCTTGCCAGGGCTCCCTACAGAAGCTGTATGTGAAGGTAAGCCTCTGGCTGGTATTGCTCCGAGATGACTAATCGCACACATACCTGCAGGACCTGAGATCTCACAAGCCTTAGACAAGCAGAAGGTAGATTTGAAAAGAAAAAAAAAAAAACACAAACCCTGGGGGTGTTGTTAGCTCTGTTTTTCCCATCAAAATTATATCTGTGAAGGTAAAAAAAAAAAAAAAAAAAAAGGCAGAAAAGTGCAGTTTGTCTTCATTAGCTCTTAGCTTTGCTAACTCAACCCTATGGATAATCCTGTACTCTTGGGAGGTGATGCTGAAATGTCTTACGAAGAGGCTGAGCACTGGCAGCTCCTGCTAATGTTAAACATACACTGGGTAATGAACGTGGTCGTGCTTCAGGGAGATGTAGCAGTGCGGGTGAGTAATGCTTTTGTAGTGTAAAGCAGAGCTCTTGTCTGTCTTTGCTAATAACAGTCATCTGCTTGTGTGGTACTGAGCAGAGGTGTTGTGCTGATCCTGTGAATTAAAGGCAGAAGGCCCGTGGGATTCACCTTCCTCGTGTCTGAGCCTAGCATTGCAAACTAGCCAGCCTTCTCCATTGTATCTCCATGTTACCCAAACAAAACCGCTGCAGGATACAAGATCAAGGGATGACCATCCACGTTTTTTTTTATGCAGGGAACAGCAACTTTGCTTTCCTGCCTGACAAGGCTCTCCATTCCTGATCAGTTCTCTCATCAACTTAGCCCATGGTCTCTGCAGCACGGTTGTAAATTGGCATCCCTCAAGGCTTTAATTTCTACTTCGCGATGTGTGTTGACATTGTTGTGCAGTGACAAATCTTGTACTTCCTTGTGAAATTCGTGGCTTCTGATGAAGCCTTTCAAGTCCTCCACTGACAGCTGAGTTCATGGTTTTCAGCTTGCCTGTTAGCTCTCCCTTTGTTAACTACCAGGTGGCCCTGGAAAACACAGACAAAAAGCATGATAAAACATCTAATGACCTGCAATATTTGAGACAGTACCAGAGAACCATGTTACTACAGCGCTGCCTCCATGACCAGCACATTTGTGCCAAGATTATGGACTGTAAACCCAATAATATATTGATCTGATTAGCATAGTGCCAAACCAGCTGGGAGGCTGATGTCCAAGTCTGCAGGGAGGTTAAGTGTAAATCCCCCTCAGGTGGAGGACTGAAGCTTAAATCACACCACGTTAGCCCTTAGGAGGGCATATGTGCCCTGCTGAACACTGCAGTGATTTCTGTTGTGCTTCTCTCTCTTCTGCAGACCTGTGTGCAAGCGAGCAGGTAGCAACCTTGTGCATGCCATGGAGTGAGCAGGGTAAGGTAAGGTCTTGTGGGCTGAGGACTGCAACTTGAATTCCTCCTTCTAATATGCGTCCTTGCAAGCGCTTTTGTGTATTTACAACTTCTGATCGTGTTTCAGACAAAGAGCTGTAAAGGTAGAGCCTGCTATCTCAAAACTGCAGTTGAAAGCAGTGTTATATGTAGCTGTTTTTTTACTGCTAGCAACTTCAGCAGTTGAAATTGGACCCCAGAGCTTCAAAGCAGCTGCTTGCTTAAGGAAGTGCTGCTGAATAAAAGCTCCCTGCTCTGCTACCCTCCCCCTGCTTTTTCTACACTACCAGCTGTGTCAGCCCAGCAGCAAGGAAGAGAATTTGGCCTTGAAGTGAATCTAAAGAGGAGAGAGTGAGAAGAGAGGTGGAGTTAGCAATAGCAGCCTGCAGCATGGGAAGATGAGAAAGCAGAAGCAAAGAGAGAGATGCTTGAATCTCTGTGTGGGTGAGCTCTGAGGAGCAAGGGCTGAATAGAGGGGAGGACCAAGGAGTTTAAAGACTGAATACAGTGAAAAGGCAGGGATTAGATTCCTTTTTCTTTCTGGAATATCAATCAAAGGAAAAGGGTAAGGGGGACAAGAAGGAAGTGAGTGCAATCAATGCCGAATTCCAGGTAAAATAAGTCCCTTTAACAAAAAGGGGTGTGAAATGGGAAGAAACCCTACAATCTCTTCAGTGTAATGCAGGAAGCAAAGAACAATACGAGGCACGTGAGGCACAGTACTCCTACTTTGTGGTATTTCTCACTTTTGTGTAACTGTGCTCTTAAGCTGTCACTGGCATTACTTTCCTGAACCCTTAGTGCAGTATTAGTGCATTGTCAAGTATTATGGTCTTGCAGAGTATGAAAGTAACAGGAAGATGCAACCATTTCTTCTTTCTTACCTGTTTTTTCTTTAACAAATTTAGCAGAAACCTGGAGACGAGTAGGTGGCATTTACTTCTGATAGCACTACAGGCTTCCATAGAGAAGTGTGGCTGTTAGCCAAGTCTAACAGATTCAGGTTCAACTCTGCAGATTTTAGGCAGCTTGAGGTAAATAAATCAGAACCAGCTCTTAAATACACGGAGTAAAAATAGCTCTATCCACTTTGTACTGCTGCAAGTGACTTGACTGCAGCTTTTTGTCTGGAAGTCTCAGAGGGAGTTGAAAGTTTGTGCAAAAGTAAACAAAACTGGGGGACAATCTTGCTTATACCTTCTAGGGTAATGCCACAGCCAGTCTGCAACCCCATTTTATCTAAAGTGCTGCTGCTCTGTGTGTAACTGGTCCCCTGAAGTTGCTAACAGCTCGTGCTTACCTTTCAGTACTGCCCCCCAGGGAACTGGGGGAAGGCAGAGCACACAAGTGCCTTGCTCAGCTTCTCTTTCGTGGTGATGTAGGTACTTCACAGAATCTCAGAATTTCTAGGTTGGAAGGGACCTCAAGATCATCGAGTCCAACCTCTAACCTAACACTAACAGTCCCCACTAAACCATATCCCTAAGCTCTACATCTAAACGTCTTTTGAAGACTTCCAGGGATGGTGACTCCACCACCTCCCTGGGCAGCCTGTTCCAGTGCCTCACAACCCTTTCAGTAAAGAAGCTCTTCTTAACATCTAACCTAAAACTCCCCTGGTGCAACTTTAGCCCATTCCCCCTCGTCCTGTCACCAGGCACATGGGAGAACAGGCCAACCTCCACCTCACTACAGCCTCCTTTGAGGTACTTATAAGGAGCAATAAGGTCGCCCCTGAGCCTCCTCTTCTCCAGGCTGAACAAGCCCAGCTCCTTCAGCCACTCCTCGTAGGACGTGTTCTCCAGGCCCCTCACCAGCTTCGTCGCCCTTCTTTGGACCCACTCAAGCCCCTCGATGTCCTTCTTGTAGTGAGGGGCCCAAAACTGAACACAGTACTCGAGGTGCGGGGGGCCCAGTGCCCCAGCCAGCATCTTAACACAAAGATGATGGTTTTAATCTGAGATGTGCAAGGCAAGTAGCAGGGTTGGGTTGAGGGGTGGTCATTTCCTTGGGGCCATTTTCTTGCCATGCTGCTGAGCAGACAAGAGCACAGCCCCTCCAGTTCAGCTGTATCCAGCAGTGGTTACCAAACCCATGACTGTTTTGGTAGTCCTGGGTAACCACAGTGCTCTGCTTACCCTTCCTTTCCTTTGGCAATGGTAACAGACCAGTGACTCACTGTGAGAAAATAAAAAACTTTTCTTTAGGGAAATTTTTCTGAATTCCGCATGCCTCTGATTGAGTTTGTTCTGTCAGGTGAGTACAGTTAAGGTGTTAATGGGAAGAGGCTAAACCTGCCTGTTCCTGTCCTGCTGATGTTTACTGAGGAGTGAAGAAAGAGGAGGTTAGTGTTGAGAAGTCAAAAACAATAGGCTTTAAAAAATAGGCAGTGCTCATGGAACCACTGAGCTTCTT